ATAAAGGGGAAAGAAAGACATGTTGATTATTTTTGATGACTTTTTTTTACTTCTTCCAAGGATACATATGCAGAAATAATGCAGTCTGACAGAACAGATCAGTTAATGTCATGGGTCAATCCTATGGAATTCTGGGATTTGTAGTTTTGTGAGACATTTAGCCTTCTCTCTCAGAGAGCTCTGGTGCCACAACAAAATACAGATCCCAGAACGCTATAGCATTGAGCCATGGCAGTTAGTGTTATCAAACTGCATTATTTCTGCTGTGCAGATTCAGCCCCAATAGAAGCAAAGGGTTTATTTGGACACAACTATAAGCCAACATTCTTTCCAATTTTTTCAATGTCTGTATTATTGAGAACAAAGTGGCATGTTGCTATCTGCTTTCTGATTGTTTCCATTGTAACCAAGTGTGTCCATAAAAAAATAGATGTTCTGTACATAGTTTGCATAACTTCACAGTGAACCTGTAATGGCTTGTCTCTTAGCCAAAAAGCCCCTCCCCTCAAAAAAATAGACCAATAGATTGTGATCTATACAATCAAATGTGTTGCTGCAGTTTATGAAACACATGCTGATTCTTTTTTGGAATTCTTTGGTGCACTCCATTAGCCATCGTATGTTTGCAATGTGCTCCCTAGTGCCCTTTTCTTTTGAATCCTGCTTGCAGTTCTGGAATTTCTCTCTTCATGTATGGTTGGAGTCTATGCTACAGAACCTTGAGCATTATTTTGCTTGCATGTGAGACTAGTGCTATTATCCTATAGTTGCTGCAGTCTTTTGTATCTCCTTTGTTGTGGATTGGTATGTATATCGAGTGTTTCCAGTCTGTTGGCCACTGCTTTATTTTCCATATTTCAGTTAGCACTAAAGTTGCATCTGTCTGTAATTCACTTCCTACAATCTGGGGTTTGTCTTCATATGGCTCCTCATTCCAAATATCGTTCATTCCCTCATCTCTTTTGTATAACTCTTCTGTGTATTGCCTCCAGTGTCTTTTTATTTCTTCTTGTTCCTGTATTATGTTCTTTTTTTCTCCATAGAGCATCCCTGCTCTCTGTTTGACCTTAGCTTTAATTTCTCAGATTTTTTTGATAGAGATCTCATGTTCTTCCCTTTTTGTTGTTGTCTTCTGTTTCTCTGCATTGATCATTGTAGTATTTCTCCTTGTCCCTGCATGTCAGACACTGGACAGTTTTGTTCATACTGCTGGCTTTGTTCCTATCTCCCTTTGCTTTTGCTTTTCTTCTTTCTTTTATTGCATGAAGTGTTTCATCTGTCATCCATTGTTTCTTATCTTTCTTTTTGGCCACTATTAGTGTTTTCTTGCAATCATCCTTAATTATGTCTTTGACTTCTGTCCACAGTTCTTCAGGTACCTGGTCAATAATACTCAATAGTTCAAATCTGTTTCTTACATTGTCCTTGAATTCATCTGAAATGTTATTCAGGTCATATTTTGGTGTAATGATGGTTTTTGCTTTCTTCATCAGTTTAACTCTGATTTTTGTTATGAGCAGTTCATGTTCTGTGCCGCAATCAGCTCCTGGTCTGGTTTTGACCACAAGGATAGAGTTTCTCCATCTTCTACTTCCAATTATGTAGTCTATCTGGCTTTTGCTTGTTTGTTTGTTTGTTTGTTTGTTTGTTTGTTTGTTTGTTTACCATCTGGTGATGTCCTAGTGTATAATCTCCTATCTGGTTGTATGAAGCAGGTATTTGCAATGAATAGATTATTGGCCTTACAGAATTCTGTCAGACACTCTCCTGCTTTATTTCTTGTTCCTAATCCAAATGTTCCTACTGTTTTTCAATTCCCTACTGTTGCCAAGTTTAGCATTCAAGTCTCCAATGATTAGTTTGAAATCTTGTGATAATATGTTGTCAATTTCTTCTTGGACTGCATCATAGAATCTCTCAATTTCCTCTTCATC